GATTTAAAAATTGATCCATTAACCACCTAATTTATTTGGACCACCCATCAAATATTTTGGCTTTTGAAAGTTAATGGGTAATTTGTTTTGTCAACCCATCAATTTGTTTCCAAGCCTTGACAATTCCATTAGTTGGCCCATAACCAAAAAGACCACATTAGAAAGGCTTTGAGAGCCAGTTGCCATTTGAAACCGATATCTATTTGGAGTAGTAGAGATCAATCCAAACTAAGTCGCTCCCATCTTTAGCTGGAATAATTCAAATTAAACTCAAACTAGACCAAACTATATATCTCTTCAGCTACCCATTAGCCATAATCAATTCAGAGCTTTGAGTTTGAGATGCCAAAACCAAAGAGACTTCAAAACAAGGTTGGTCTTTTCCTTTGCTCCTTTTTGTCAGAGTTAGACCTTATAGCCTATTAAATTATTAGTTGAAAGTCTTGGAACTTGAAAGGCATCGTCTGTTTGTCAAAAATATAGAGCTTTTAAACCAAAAAGAAGTACATGTTGTGAAACTAGGGAATTTGTAGGGAGAAATAAGAGGAAGAAAGAGACAGTATAATTTGCTCAAATCAACTTGTGTTTCATTCATATTTGGTGCCACTATTTATAGGGGTAGAGAGACCTAAATCACCTACCACCCATAATTGATAGGTTACAAATATATTGGTTGGTTACAAATATATAATGATGGATATTATTGTGAGCATCCATAACCTATAAACCTATAACGTATGGATTTATAACACTCCCCCTTAGATGTCCACCATACAATGACATCATGTTGGACGTGCTAAATGTTGCCTCGTTAAAAACCTTGTCAGGAAAAACCACATGGGATAAAAACCTGATTGAAGGAAAAAAGAGTACATTGCACATACATCCAATGTAGTAAAACTGAGGAGTTTCCGCGATTGATGTCTCCCCCTGATCTTCAACAATATGATTGCTTGTAAAGTCGTCGCATTCCTATACCATATACCAACTTCTAAAATATAGACTTCGGAAGAGCTTTGGTGAAGAGGTCTGCCAGGTTATCTTGGGAACGAATTTGGTTGACTTCAATCTCTTGATTCTTCTGAAGCTCATGTGGGTAGAAGAACTTTGGTGGTATATGTTTGGTTCTGTCACCCTTGATAAACCCTTCTTTAATTTGAGCTATACAAGCAGCATTGTCTGCATACATGATTGTCGGGGCTTTTGTTGTTGACGAAAGATCACATGTTTTCCGAATATGATGAACTAGGGATCTTAACCAAACACATTCTCTACTGGCCTCATGGAGCGCAAGAATTTCTGCATGATTAGAAGAGGTAGCAACCAAAGTTTGTTTTGTAGATCGCCATGAGATTGCTGCATTTCCACAAGTAAACACATAACCAATTTGGGAGCGACCCTTATGTGGATCGAAGAGATACCAAGAATCCGCGTATCCAACAAGATTTGGACCGTTGGAAGGTTCGTAAGAATAAAACATGCCCATATCAGTTGTTCCACAAAGGTAGCGCAAGATATGCTTTATACCATTCCAGTGTCTACGTGTTGGAGCCGAGCTATACCTGGCTAATAAATTTACTGAAAATGCAATATCTGGCCTAGTACATTGGGCTAAATATTATAAAGCACATATTGCACTAAGATATGGACCAAGTATCATTTCATCATCCTCTTTAGGACGGAATGGATCTTTATTTTTGTCTAATGGACGAACTACCATTGGAGTGCTCAACGGGTGGGCATTATGCATATAAAATCGCTTCAAGATTTTTTCAGTGTAAGCTGATTGATGGACAAGAATACCATTGGGATGATGCTCGATCTGCAAGCCCAGACAATATTTAGTTTTTCCAAGGTCTTTCATCTCAAATTCACCTTTAAATATTCAGCAGTTTTAATGATCTCTTGAGGAGTTCCAATTAAGTTCATGTCGACGACATACACTGCTACGATTGCAAATCCAGAATTTGATTTCTTTATAAAAACACAAGGGCATATGAGATCATTGATGTGGCCTTCCTTAATCAAATATTCATTAAGACGGTTATACCACATTCGTCCGGATTGTTTCAATCCATATAGTGAACGTCTCAACTTAATGGAATACATGTTCCGTGATTTAGTGTTTGATTCTACCAACTTCAGTTCTTCTGGGACTTTCATATAAATATTAGCATCTAACTCCCCACACAAGTATGCAGTAACAACGTCCATAAGACGCATGTCAAGTTTTTCTGAAACTGCAAGACTTATTAAATAACGGAACGTAATTGCATCTATAACAGGAAAATATGTTTCTTCATAATCAATCCCAGGCCTTTGAGAAAAACCTTGCGCAACGAGTCATGCCTTATACCTTGCAATCTCATTTTTCTCATTACGCTTTCTTGTGAACACCCATTTATATCCCACAGGTTTTACACCTTGTGGTGTTTGAGCCACAGGTCTAAATACACCACGTTTTTCCAAGGAATTTAACTCAACTTGGATTGCGTCTTTCCACTTTGGCCAATCAGGCCTTCCTTTACATTCATCAACAGATCGTGGTTCAATATCTTCATGACCTTTTATAATCTCAGCAGCTACTGCGAAAGAGAAAATATCATCGATAACCATTTCACTACGGTCCCATAATTCATCATTGCATGCGAAATTTACAGAAATTTCTATATTAGGTATCTTTTCCTCTTCAGTGGCTTGTGTATTTTCAATGACACTTTCATTCTCCGGATAAATTGTAGATTCAAGGTGAATCTCTTTCCCAATAATATCTTCATTAGCGTTTTCATTGAGATTGAGATATGCTTTCGATTTTCGCTTTCTAGGAGCTGAGTCCTTCGAACCAATGGGTCTACCTTGCTTCAGGCATGCAGTAGATGATTCATTTGCTGCAACATTGGTTAATCCGATTGGGATATCAATCATTGCTGGTGTATTTTCTGCAGGTATATGTGATTTTGTCACTTTTCCTGTATCAGTGAATGCATCTGGCATTTGATTAGCAATTTGCTGAAGGTGGACAATTTTTCGTGCTTCATTTTCACTCTGAGTTGTACGAGGGTCAAGATGAGACATAATGGATATGTTCCAACCCAATTCTCGCCGTTCTTCAGGAACGGTCTTTTCTCCCCCTAACGGAGGAAAGAATGTCTCATCATAGTGACAGTCCGCAAAACGTGCTGTAAAAGTATCTCCTGTCATAGGTTCGAGATAACGAATGATAGTTGGTGAATCAAAACCAATGTAAATTCCCAATCGACGTTGAGGACCCATTTTAGTGCGTTGTGGGGGTGCAATTGGCACATAAATTGCACAACCAAAGACCCTTAAATGGGATATATTGGGTTGTCTCCCAAAGGCAAGTTGTAAAGGGGAGAATTGGTGGTGGGTAACAGGCCTCAAGCGGACTAAGGATGCTCCATGTAAAATTGCATGTCCCCAAGCAGAAATTGGCAACTTTGTCTTCAATAGCAAAGTGCGAGCAATAAGCTGGAGACGCTTAATAAAA